ATATGAATTGGATGACTGACATTTCTGGGCAAGTGTTTTATTATAAATTATGTTTTACCAGTACCCAGACATTATAACAAGGCATATGATAAAACACTATTTGTTAAAGTTATCGCAATATTACAAAAGCAGATCATGAACTGGACATGATAGCTTTTGTTGTTATTGTAATGCATTGTTGTAAATATAGTATTCTTTTAAAAAATACAAACTTTTTGGCATTTAGCAGTCCATAAATTCCCATTTTTTTGTCTCTATGATTGCATATATATATTTCTAGAGGTATATCATATTTAATGATATATCATTTACAGACAATATCAAGTTTGGGTAGTGGGTTTTGTAGAGGAGATCCATAATATTAACATCTCTTTTCTTGATAGAATCACATTTCTTTACTAGCAGTTTGTTTTTATCAATAGAGGCATTTTTTCGTGTATCCCAAAACCCAAAGTAGTGGAGATAGTGGTAGGTCATGGTATAGCAGATATTGTTACTCAAACTTGAATTTAGAGCCCCAAAGATGCAAAGCAGCAGTAAGACATAGGCATGGCTTCTGTTATGGCACATACATTGTTTTCTTTCTCAGGTATGTTGTTTGTCCTCAGAATGTTTGTTCACTGTATTTTCTGAGGCATGTGCATGGTAGATTTGATGTAGGCAAGCATTTGAATACTTTTTGTTAGAGTTTGTTAACAGTTTCCCAAAGGCAATAACAAGAGCAAGTGGGTCTAGGCCTACCCACTAATGACAGCCGGTGCCCCTTTTACTCTGGAACAAAACACAGGCTTAGGGATGACTTTACTGCAGAATATAACCCCCAAGAAACAGGGACACAGCTGCTCTATCATTGAAAATCCTCTGTGGGGCAGTTTCAAAATGTTAGTGACAGAAACTCTTGTTGTGCTCTAATATTAGCATCAGTCTCCAGCTGCTCTACATATTACTTGGAATGACAGTCTTGGCTTCTGTGACAGTTCCATAATTTTAAATTGAGGGGATGTCTGGCACATTCACGGGAGGAATCTGGCTTTGCACAGGTATGTAACTGGTGAACTGCAGTATGATAGTTTAGGAAAGCCTGCTTTTTGAGTCTGCCTAAATGAGGATTTTCCAGAGCTTGAACACAGCTTTCTACAGTGTCTTGTTGTGCCCTATTCTTACACTGCTGTGTGCACCACTTGCTGCCACCAAAGCAGTCTCCTTTAACAGTCACTGCAACATGCTTGCTGCATGGTATCATTCTTCCATCTCATTGTGACATTAGCAATTTAAGATACCCACAACATGAAAAGTTATTTTAAATATTTCAAGCCACGAGTCTGACAGTGACTCTTATACTCTTTGGAAACAAACCTAATTTCCTCTTCTTTAACCCGAGAATGGCAACTTCTTTCCAATAAAACAGTGATCTTGTCGCTATTTTCAATAGCCCAGTTAATAAGAATTTCACACAATTAACATTTGAAATTATATATATATATCTATATATATATATATATCTATATATATATATGTAGATATATATATATATATAGATATATATATACACATACACAGACACACACTTTTCCTTTCCTGGCTCCTCCTTAAGCCAGCTAACTACGGGTCAACTACACCCTCTTGACCCCCAATAGGACATTCCTAATAGTTATTAAAAGAGGAATACTCACAAGACAATGTTCCGTAACACGAACTCGCGCCAGCTAAGGGTAGGACCGTCTAGCTGACATGAGGAAGAGCCAGGAAAGGAAAATTACAGTAAGTATGGGATAACAATTTTTTTTATTCCTGGCCCTCCTCATGTCAGCCCACCATGTGATGTGAAAGCAATACCTGGGGGGGGGGGGGAAAAAACTCAAACACACAAGATAACATTCAAAATAGTTTAGTAATATCAAAAAACAGACAGCACAGACAATCATCTTGATAGAGCAGCTGAGAGGATGGATACTCCCAGAGACTCATCCACTCCAAAATAAACATCCAATTTGTAATGTTGCAAAATAAGGTGTTCAGAGTGCTCCAACTAGCTGCTTTGCATATTTCTCCCACCGAAATCCTCATGTAGGATGCCCAGGAGGATACCATCCTCCTCCTTGAATGAGCCCTTAGTTTGTAAGGAGGGGAAAGACCCACTTTATGATAGGCAAGAGCAAATGGTCTTCATTATACTTTTTTGGGGACAGATAGAGCTTTCTTTTTGCTGAAATTGAAAATGTTGCTTATGTTTGTATAATTAAGCTGGTTGAAATCAGTTAGAAACCCAATCTGCTGTATGGATTCTTCCAACCTGCACAAACCCCCATCCTATCTAGCAGAGATCATAATCAAGGCTGCTATCTTTACACATTTATTATACAATGAATGAATTAATGCATTTATGTTGCGCTAAGTCTGTGTCGAACTGTACTCTAAAAATGGTGATATTCAAAAAATGACAAACCCATGTGGCCAATAATCAGCAAGTATCCGTGAAGGCATAAACCTGTGTAGCTAAAAATGCGATGCACCTTTACCAGTGATGCACCTCTGACAGTTTATTAAATAGTATGCATAATTAAATTACATGGTAGTGGATATCTATAGGTAGAAAAGGAAAACATGAAGAAGCAAATATTATAAATACTATTGTATTTACAACATGTGAATTGTGTACTGAGATATCAGCCTTCATTTTTTTTTATTATTTTAAAAAACAAAACATGCTGTTGTGTAAATGTACTTTAAACTACTTTGTAAAATTCAAACTATTTTCTTTTAAAATGTTGCTATATAATTATTTTTCTCTTAAAAAGAAAAACTGCACATTTGCACATCATAGTTTTACAGATGGTGTCCTTAAAATTTATTATTTTGCCTGCATTCTTTAAATGTCAGTAAGCAATTTCCAGTCTGGGTGAAACCAACCATTCAGAAGAGGCCTGCCTTTTATCATCAGCCTCTCAGTGCACTATAAATAAATTCTAGAATATGCTTATAATTAATAGGAAATCATATAATGTTAGAGAATCCTTAGCTGTGAAAGTGCCTGTGTATTGCTTTATATATTTAATGATATTAATACTGAAGATATGAGAGGAAGTGGAATTTAACCCAGACTGTACATTTAAAGTGACACTAAATTCAGGAGTTAAAGCTTAAAAAGTACCTTAACCATTACCAAAAATTCCTATTTGTGTATCACTCAGCTGTAGATCATCAAATCATCTCTGAATTGGTGCTGACACTGTCCTTTTTTCTGGAGAGTGGCTACTTTTGTTCCCCATGGTCCCTGTATGTGTTGTAAAGTAGCCACAGCTCCAAGCTCACTCCCATGATGGACTACAGTCAAATTAGTAAACTAAACCTGAGATTGCAGTCCAACACAGGAACGGGCTTGTCATTTAGTGCAGAGGGGAAAAAATGTTACGTGTCGATGTGGTGTTTGATGATAGATCTGCATCACTGGACAATTTACAGTGATGGACAGTGAATTTACATCGGGTAACGTTATTCACATATTTTATTTTACAGTGTGGTTGCCTTTATTTATTTTAAACTCTTTGTGGGAATTAATGTAAAAGGGATGAATGTACCCCTGTACTCATTCCCCTGGGGGGAGGATATCTGGGTTAGTATTTTGTTATTATATTGTGTTTATGTGCAATAAATGTATTTGAATGCATTTTCACAGAAAATCTTGATTTGATATGAAAGTTCAGACAGCCTTTGATTCTAAACCTGGCCATACATTCAAAGATTGCTATACCACCACCAGGAAAGTATTTTCTAAAACAGAGCAGAAGGTACAAAGCCAACATTATTTTGATGCTCAACAAAGATGGCAATAATCCATGCGTACCCTAACAGTTTTACCCCGGTGTTTTTCTTTTATTTCATTAAATCAACCCCACCATCATAGTTAAATATTTGTTATTCATCTGTGTCTATCTTCTAGATTTAAAAAAATTTCAGATTTAGACTTAAATTAACATTCTTTTCATTCCCACTTAAAAGTACAAAACTGAGTTCTCCTTTAAGATACCCCCATAATGGAAGCAATCAAGTTGAAAGACCAATTTTAAGTGGACAAACAAAGAAAATATTTGTTATTCATCTGTGTCTATCTTCTAGATTTTAAAAAATGTCAGATGTAGACTTAAATTAACATTCTTTTCATTCCCACTTAAAAGTACAAAACTGAGTTCTCCTTTAAGATACCCCCATAATGGAAGCAATCAAGTTGAAAGACCAATTTTAAGTGGACAAACAAAGAAAATGTATTTCGATGTGTTTCTGTTACAAATGTATTCGTTTCCAAAAATGAAATAAGGAAAACCTTTATGTTGACTGAGAATAGTAATCTGTGAAATTTTGGAACACATTTTGGAGCAAGTCTATGTGAATGAGTTTCTTGACACCTTGACACCATGGGGGTGATTTACTAACCTAAACACACGCACGCACCAGGTGCGTGTGATTTTTACACAGCAAAGCGTATTTATCAACCAAAAAGTCTCTATAAGCATATTTCCACTAATGCCATATATGGAAAAATCATGCACACGATGCATATATAATGCTGCTTCACAGTTTAGACAAAAATGGTTAGCTCATGCATTTACATTCCTGCATTCATCAACGCAAGCAACACAATGTAGAGCTAATTTACACAACATCACCTTGCAATTCAGGGCAGGGCTTTGCACAACACACCTGCTGGGTGTGTACACACTACAAAGGTGTTTAGATTCCACCCATAGATCATGCTGGGAGGGAACACACTACAGTGGTGTATACATGTTTGTGGTGTGTTTATACGGTTAGTAAATCAACCCCCATGAGTGTGTGAAACCTTAAAAGCTCCATATCGCTATTGTTTTGTTGTTCATATGTTTGAATTAGGGGTGTGGTGTCTATGTCCCTAAATGTTTGGATTTTTTTAATGAGGATTGACAGAAATGTAAACCACTATTTACCTTCTATTCAGTCTATTTAGTTTTCCTCTTTTTTTTCAGATCAGATTCAGCTGTTTTGTATAATGACCGATCTGTACTTGAAAATCATCATGTAAGTGCAGCATATCGCTTACTGCAGGATGACGAAGAAATGAATATACTTTATAACCTTTCCAAGGATGACTGGAGGTGAGATGAGTAAGCAATAAGTATTTTGTAAGCATGTCTATGCTTACAGTTATGTTAGGGTAAAGACATTATATGTACAGTATATTGTCTACTTTTGTGGATCCTAAAGGATAGCCAATGATTACTAGACATGTGCATTTGGATTCGGTTGAACCTGCAAATCAACTAAATTCAGTTGATTCGTCAGTTTGTCCGAATCCAATATAACAAATGTATTATATGCCCGAATATACTAAATCTATATTCGGGCATTTATAAATTAGTTTGCAGAATGCGCATGCGCGCCGCTATCTCCAAAGTGGCATGCAAAAAAGTCCAGGTAAACCTATTGAATGACTTCTCTGCTTCTGATGATACAAGGATCAGCGGAATATGATTAGAGGCAGAGCCGTGGACAATATTCATTACACTCATGGTATTATCCTTAGCATTTCTGCCAGCCATACAACCTACTTGGTCCAAATCAATAAGAGTAGGGACATGGGGAAGCAACCTGTTATGCAAAATTTTAATAAAGACCTCTAAGTCTGTATTGAACATTGAGATGGGACCAATACTGTGCACATTGGGACAAATCCTTCCCCTGCTTGGGAATGACTATAATGTGAGCATAAAGGGTGTCCCTTGGTAAGATGCCAGAATCCAAAATTCTATTGAAAGAGCAGATACATTTCTTGCCTAGTATAGAAGAAAAAGTAGAGTAATAAGACAACGAAAATCCAAAGAGCAGTAAGAATTTGTAAGTACATTTACTAATGTACTCCTGTGACCCAAAAGAAAAATAAAGCCAAAAGAAGGTTCGGCTTTACTTCTCTTTTAATTCTTGTAGTAACGCTCTAGCCCGTCCTCTGTCTGTAGTAATTTGGGCCTAGACTTTCTATCTAAAATTGTTTTGCTGCTGACCAATTTTACACTGCTGTATCATCTGCAGTCTCTACATTTTTAATGAAAGCTTGATAGAAATATTAGTGCACTTGCAAAAACACAGTTGAGTAGTGTAGGTGATACTTCTTTTTTGCACCAGTTACATTTTCAGGGCAAGCTTTTGGGGGTCTACCCTCTTCTTTGTGGTCCAAGCAGTACTAATACACAAAGGTTCGACATAGCATTGAGAAAAAGTTCTGCATAGATAACAATTTCTGGTGAAAAAATCCTGGGTAATAAAAGTATTTCATAGGAAATAAATCTATTTGAAAGTGATTTAGAAAGCTGAGGTCCCGATTTAGTTTATCTCTTGTGTCAAACAGAATTATAATTTGTAGTTTAAAGGTTTTCCTTTTCTGATTATGTTTAAAGTTCCCTGTTTTCTGTCCTGTTTCACCAATCTAGCATTCCTGGTTGCATTTGCTGTATTGAATGAGGTACACCACTAGAGATGCAGCTGTATGATCCAGTTTACAGCATTTTTTATTCCAAAGTTTTATTTTCTTGTTGGCATCCTTGTAGTCAGCATGATGTTTAATTTAAATCTGGTGGTTGTCTGAAGGCCAGCTTCGAGGGTTGTTGGAAGATTTATTTCAGCCTTTTGTCCTCTATTATGATTGCAGTTCTTTGATGATCACTATAAAGCCTTTTAGTTCTGGATTGTATATGGTCACTAGGAGGTACACGCTATTTTATTTGGGCTGGATTGTATTTGGTTACTGCAGGTACATGGCTATATGTTTTCTTCTCATTGTATTGTAGGATATTGTCTCTTTGGATTTTCAAGGCAGCATTCATGCACTGATGGATTTGTTGCTGTAACCTTTTTTATGAAAAGATTAGTAATTATTTCTGTCTTCTGGGTCAGAACAAATGCAGTGGTATCTTGTGGCCTGGCTGTATATGATGGGTCATTTGGTGTTTTGGGGGTGTGAGATGGAACTGTGGAGATAGTTGTGTCAGTAAATGGGTTTCCTGTATTTTGAGGTATGCCATTTTTATCCCTGATAGATACCAGGTGCCTTGGAAATCCCAACATGTGCCTGAATAGTTCATTTTTACTTTAATTGAAAGGGGATACAGTTGGACACAAACAAATATATACAAGATGTCAAGGGGCAGCTTGCAGCTGATACTCAATATAAAACTGGAATATGATCCCTCCCATGATTTTAATCAACAACTGAAAGGTCTATTAAAACACTACAAACCCACATTTATTCAGAGCTCATCAGTGCAATCCTAGATAAACCAGAAATGTGGAACTTCTATATGTTGCCGAAGATCCACAAGCCAGTAAATCCAGGCAGTCCAATCATGACAGCTATGCATACACTCACTGAACAAATCTCAGGCCTTGTAGAAAACATGATAAAACCATTAGTTAAAATTACTGCTAGCTTCCTGTAAGATACAGTTAATTTCCTTAACAATATCCACAATATACAGCATCTCCGTAGTTCCCGCTTCCACCCTCAAAAAAGTGTTGTTTTTATAGTTTATTTTCTAAACATTTTTCTAAATATTTTTGTATCAGTACTGCTTTGACTGTGACGGGGACAGACGGCTGAAAGCTTGTCCTGAAAATGTAACTGTTAGTGCAAATAACATATCACAGACAGTACACAACTGTGTTTTTACTTGAGGAAAAAAACCTAGAGAGAAAAATACCCGGAGCTGGCTGCCTTGTGTGCAAAAAAAAAAACATTTAGCTGAAGCTGGACACAGGGTTCAAATCTTAAAAAAAAGACTCTTATGATTAGTAAGTTCCAGACAGGTTAGGATTTATTTTGTGCATTATTTTTGTTCTGTAAGAAGCTGCCTAAATTATTTGTATGCTGGATATGCTGCCTATATGAATTTAATACTGGAAGCAAGTGTTTATTGCTCACAGCTATTGCTGACCCATTACCACTCTACATGGTGTGATCCTACACCACATGCATGGTAAGATTGGCTGATATCTGGATAATTTTTGTGCGGTGGAGTTGTTGGGTTGTTTAACACCTAAGCATCCTTAACCTCCCTGGCGGTATTCCCCAGTGTGGCTCGGGGTTAATTTTCAGTACCAAAAGCGGTAACCCCGAGCCATACTCGAGATTACACTTTATTGTCACTTACCTTGTCCCTACAAGCCCCACTGTGTCCTCTGGCCGATTCTGGGTTTCTTCCCTGTGAGCGCCGGCGTCGCGAAGGGGCGGAACAGGCGGGAAATTCAAAAGTGAAAAATAGAAAAAAGAAACAAAAAGAAAAAATACTGACATAATCAGACCACCAGTGAGGTTAATCTGTAGGTTACAATTTTCAGTCAGATCGAGAGAATGTTGTTCATCTACATTATATTTCAGAACTATGAGGGCTGGCACTGACAGTCATTTTAAATATTTACAATCTGGAACCAATAAGCTGGTTCCTGATCAGTTGATTACTATAATGGACATTTTTTTTTTTAAATGTAATTACAAAATGTTTTAAGGTAAGAATTATTTTTAACACTTGTTATAATAAATCTGCTAGTATTTATTAAAACATAGTCGAAAAATTGTCGTTATAATTTTGTGTGTAAAGTTGTGATATGCTATTGTGCAACATTATCACCATCTTTTCTAATTTACATAGCCTCTGATATTACTGTAGAAATAGCCACACTTGTCATTCTGTGGTCAGATAAGGCAGACAAGAGCCAAAATCACGAGTGTGCACATTACAGTAAGTTACAGCAGGCCCCCAGAGTCCACAAGCTCTACAGTTATTTTTTACAGCTAACATTGTCAGTATATAAGATGGAATGTTCATACACTCATTAACTCTCATGTATAATTCATAGGTGCCTGCCAGAAGGTACATACAGTGTACCTGATACTATGCATGAGTCTATACAGCTGAAATTTACAGCATATTTTTATTTACATGTTGTCCGTTCAGATCTAACGGTCCACTACACAAATTAAAAATAGCACAATGCAAATTAAATTTTAAAAAAATACTTGTTTCAATCATTCATAAATTATTAGAGAAGAGAGAAAAAAATAAAATAAACCAGGATTCAGTCTAACTCATGTAATTTCACCTGATGTCAATATCCACAAACTTTGTATCAGAATAATTTGTGCCATTTTGGACACCTACAATGGTTAAGAAATAATTTATAATATGATTATATATACATTACCTGTCACATATTAATTTTCAGAGCTTACCAGTGAACCAAGCTATGAGGTTTTTTTTAGAAGTATCTAAATCATGGACAAACTTATTTATTCAATGTAAACTGTCTACAGGGGAAAAAAATCATACTTCTGTTTACTGTTTATTGTTTTTTGCCTAACCATAATTTCAGCGTAGATTAGGACATTTGGGCACAATTGTTTGTTATTATTATTGTTTGGGCAATATGCATTGGAGTCAATAGGGAAGGCAAAATGAAGGTGGTTTTAAAGGTGCAGCTGGCTTTAAATGGCTTCTGAAGGTTACATAAGCGTAAGTTTTAAATGCTTATTAATCTTTTTTTTTACTTTTAACACACACATTTCTATGTGGGTACACACCAAATGCAACTAGAAAGCAATACAGGGGCAGTTATCGATGACATCAACAAAATGGCTTTTTTTTTTAGCATTGACAAGTCAATCACATGACCTTGTTAATAAGCAAAGAGTTAAAGTTTGGCATTAGGATTAGTGTTGGCGTTTGGGATAAGGTTAGGGTTACAGTTTAGTTTAGCATTTAGGGTTAAGATTGACTTTTTTTAATTAACAAAGCTATTGATCACCATGTTAGTGTTGACATTGTCAACACTGGAAGTGATTGTGATTATACAAACACTACCATTTTGCACTTAGTTTTATCAGAAAACAGTGTCTTCACTGAGACGGAACCTTTTAGGGGTAAGGGTATTTCTGAGCTCAGTGATAGCTAATATGCACATAAAAAGAGGAGAACATCTAATCTTTTTTTTAACAAATCATACATTTTCAATTTATTTTAATATATACAAGTGGAAAATCTGCAGGAAAAGGAAATGATTCCTGAAATATGTGATTCTCCCTGAATTTAGCCAAATTGCTATTTGATTTGCATATCATAATATTCAACCGTATGTGAATTGTTTTGAAATTTTAGTGTATGTAGTAAAAATAAATGTATAGAAGAATAACTCAAATTTAAAAAAAAACTTTGAGTATTTTTTCTGGAAAACAAATATTATTATGCTTCATTTTATGAAAACTACATTTATTAAAAAGACAGCAAAATAAATATGCCTCTCCTTTTCTTGCATTAATTCTAGCTGGAGTTATTCTTCTGACTAACTTACTCACACTGAATTTGATATTTAAAAAGAATGAGCTTACCTCCCTTGGAATAAAGATATCTGCATGGGGTTTGTGACACATATGGTTTGCAGTCAAAATGTCACAAACAATTAGCCTATGCACAAGATAAACTAATGTCTTACACGTTCTTTTACTTTCTGCCTTATGACAACCCTGAAGGGAATTCCGGGCTTTGGTGATTGAGATGGTGTTGGCTACAGATATGTCCTGTCATTTCCAACAAATCAAAGCAATGAAAAATGCTTTGCAGCAGCCAGAAGGGTGAGTAACCTTGTTGTGATGTCCTGCAGTAAAAGGTCACAGCATATACTGATAGTTTATTATTTTGCACTTCAAAGGCAACCTGTGAAAGCTATTAGGCATTCTGAAGTTACCTCGTTCTTGTTTAAAGGAGATTTAAAGATTATATTAATCGTATTAATCGTACACAATATATTAATCGTATCTTACAGGACACCTGATTTCATTCTGGAACCAGTGGGTTATGCAGCTACCTTTGGGAGATTTGGCAAATCAAATTTGGAAGTATACCACCTATACTCCCATTCCCACTCTCAGGGAAGCCTCAGTTTTTTGCTAGTGTCTTTAGGAGAACATACCTCTTTACTTTGCTCTCAGAGGAGCAAACTACTTTAATTTTTTTCTTTGTTCATTTTCTCAAGGTTTTTCTGGGTTTTTTTCTAGCAAGATTCTATGATGTTGATGAATGTTATTGGCCAAATATAGCCATATGGCCATATACATTGATAAAAATAATTATTTGATCTACTGCAGATTTTGTAAGTTTGCCCACTTACAAAGAAATGAAAGGTCTATAATGTTTATCATAGGTGTATTTTAAATGATAGAGACAGAATAATAACCAAAAATCCAGAAAAAACACATGATATAAATATTATAAATTGAGTTGCAGTTCAGTGAGTAAAATAAGTATTTAATCCCCAAGCAAAACATGATTTAGTACTTGGTGGAGAAACCCTTGTTGGCAAGCATAGAGGTAAGACGTTTATGTAGTTGGTAACCAGGTTGGGACACATCTCAGGAGGTATTTTGGTCCACTCTTCTTTACAGATCTTCTCTAAATCCTTAAGATTTCTTGGCTGCCACTTGGCAACTCGAAGTTTCAGCTCCCTCCATAAATTTTCTATAGGATCAAGGTCTGTGGACTGGTAGGCCACTCCATGACCTTAATATGCTTCTTCTTGAGCCACTGCTTTGTTGCCTTGGCGGTATGTTTTATGTCATTGTCATGCTGAAAGCCCCATCCAAGACTGATCTTCAGTGCTCTGGCTGAGGGAAGGAGGTTCTCATCCAAGATTTTACAATACATGGTCCCGTCCATTGGCCCCATTATGCGGCAAAAGCGGCCTGTACCTTTAGAAGGGAAACAGCCCCAAGGCATTATGTTTCCACCTCCATGCTTGACTGTAGGGATGGTGTTCTTAGGTTCATAGTCAGCATTTTTCTTCCTCCACACACGCGAGTCAAGTTAATGCCAAAGAGCTCAATTTTGGTCTCATCTGACCACAGCACTTTCTCCTAATCCTTCTCTGAATCATTTAGATGTTCATTGGCAAACTTCAGACAGGCCTGTACATGTGCCTTCTTGAGGAGGGGGACCTTGCGGGCGCTGCACGATTTCAATCCATGGCAGTGTATTGTGTTACCAATGGTTTGTTTGGTGACTGTAGTCCCAAATGCCTTGAGATCATTCACAACCTCCTCCCGTGTAGTTCTGGGCTGATCCCTCACTTTTCTCATGATCATCCTTACCCCATGAGGCAAAATCTTGCATGGAGCTCCCGACCGAGGGCGATTGATGTTTATCTTGTATTCCTTCCATTTGTGAATAATCGCTCTATCAGTTGTTTTATTTTCACCAAGCTTCTTGCCGATAGTCTTGTAGCACATTCCAGCCTTGTGCAAGTCTACAATCTTGTCCCTAACGTCCGTTGACAGCTCTTTGGTCTTGCCCATGGTGGTGAGGTTTGAATGGAAGAAAGAGATGTTTTTTATATACATAACGAGTTGTCATTAGGGGCATTTTCTTAAATTGAAAGGACTAATCTGTGTACCAGATAGCCAGTCTGTGGGAGCCAGAATTATTGTTGGTTAGTAGGGGATCAAATACTTATTTTACTCACTGAACTGCAACACAATTTATAACATTTGTACATTCTGTTTTTTTCTGGATTTTTGGTTTATATTCTGTCTCTAACATTTAAAATACACCTATGATAAAAATTATAGACCTTTCACTTCTTTGTAAATAGGCAAACTTACAAAATCTGAAGGTGATCAAATTATTATTTTTCTCACTATAATAGTCAATGGCATCACTGCATCCCAACCTTTTGGTTACATGCAGCTGTGGATGGGGAATTCCCTAGCAACAGCTGATAGGGTCAAAGCTGAAGGAGTTTCATTCCATCTTCAGAGAAGCTTCTTCTGTGTTCAGAGAAGCTCATTCAGACCGGGTTTGATCCAAACCCAAGCTTATTCCTACTCAGGAATGCTATTGTGCCTGAATGGCCTCTTTCCCATTTAGGTGCACTGTGCATGAACACTTCATCTTGGCAGTACATATGTGGATCGGTCTTTCCTATTACTTGCCTCTCCTATCATAGTACAGCAATTCTCTGAATTTTTGAATGTTACTGGGCGCACTGCTGCCTAAAGTGACTGGTCACAGAAGGCTTATCCCTTCCTGTGTACGTTTATCTCTTCCTGTGTATGGTTGTGAGTTTTCCTGGGGGGGACATTCCTCACACTCTATGGAGGATAATAGGCACAATGGAGGTAGGCCAGTGGGCCCTGCCAGTTCATGCTTAACTAATGGCTTAGGGGAGTTCTGCACTATTTCTCCTAAGGGTCCTGATTCTGATAGCCTATACAGCCAGGTCCTCTCATCTCCCTCAGAGACCATCTCCGATTTCCCTCTGACTGCTTCTGAACTTCCTGAAAAGAAGGATGAGGATGGCACACATGCCTTGCCCTACAGCAGTCTGCGATGACCTGGCCAAGGGTCACCAACTTGGCTTATTAAGAATGCCTCAGCCTGCAAAATACTTTCCTGTGCACTTGCTCTTGCAGCAGGTATTGTACCGTGAATGGTCTAATACTTAAAAGGTCATTCTTCTTCCCACGTGCTTTGCTCAGCAATATCCTATTATAGAGGGGTTGCTGAAGAAGTGGGTTGTCCCAGTCATGCGCCCAGCTATTTCCTGTCTTAGCAAAGCCTTAAAAGTCAGTTCAGTCTGTTCAGGACTTACCAGTATTTACGAACCCTGTGGACAAAAGGATAGAAGCCCTTTACAAAGCCTTATTCTTGCTTGCAGGACCTGGTTTGCAACCTGCTGTGGAGACCACATCCGTCTGCCAGAGTCTAGCTGTGTGGTCCAAGACCATGGCTCAGAATTGTGGCTCCTTCTGTCCTCCAATGACTGGAGGTCTTGTCTGTGGCCTTGCACTACTGTGTTGATGGGCTTGCAGATACACTTTATCAGATATCCAGGATTGGCCTTCCTTCAGTACATACAAGGAGGATCCAGTGGCTTAAATATTTGTCGGTGTAGCTTCAATGCAAAAAGTGCTTTGTGCAAATACCCTTTAAAAAAACCCACCTTTGTTGACTCCTTGGACACCTATATCAAAGAAGTCATGGGAGGGAAGTCATGGGAGGGAAGTTTCCCCAGAAAAAAGAAGGCAAAACTTCCTTCAGTTAAGTCTTCAGCTCCTGACGTGAAAAAGAGTTCCCTTTGTTTCTCTCAGGTCTCAAGATCCAAGTCCAATCCCAGGACACAGTTCCACTGTAAGACCTTGACCGCCAAATCTGCAGAGTCCAGAAACAAGCCCTCCTTTCATTGTGGAGGTGCATCCACTGTGAAGAGTAGGTTGAAAGTCTGCTGCTAGACCCTTGGGCTTAGGGCCTTGAAACTAGAGTTTTGGTCTCTGCCTTCACCCTGCTTCATGCTGTCAAACTTGCCAACTTTTCTTCAATGGCCAATGAATCTTCACACTGCTCTCAAGCAGCTCCTCTCTCAATGGGTCATAGCTCCTGTCCCAGAATATAAAACTTCCTGGGATTCTATTCAAGCCTGTTCACTGACTCCATGGCAGAATCTGGCTTTTGCCCCCTTCTATATCTAAAAATTCTCAAAGGTTTCCTTTTAGTTCAAAAATTCTACATGAAATCTACTTTGTCAGTTATTGCTTCTCTTCACTTTCGAGAACTTCTGACCTCCATAGACATCAAGAATGCCTACTTACACATCCACGTTCCAACACATCAACAAATCTGCATTTTGCTGCGGGCATGCAACATTGCCAATTTGTTGCCATTCCCTTTAACCTGCCCATGGCACCTTGGGTCTTCATCAAGGTGCTAGCCCATGTTCTCACACAGATCCACTCTCAGGGTATCTGCATATTGGGATATCTGGACAATCTCTTGCAGTTGGCTTAGATTTTGTCTTGCACTGCAGAGATTGTGATAGGTTTAAACTCTCCATACATCATCATTGGATCCCCTTCATCACTTGGAGTGTCTGGGCCTAATCTTGACTACAGCCCTGTCCAGGGTCTTACGTTTCCCAGACCAACTCCAGTCTCCAATCAGGACAGTTTAGTTGTCCCTTCAACATTAGAACTCTTGGCTACAAGGTCACCCGACCAAGATTTAGTCGGACAATGTAATGGTAGTGGTTTACATCAACCATTAGGGATGCATCAGAAGTCACACAACTTGCTAAAGCTAAAGCTGGCTTATCCCCTGGCTTGGGCAGAACTTCACAATCATGCTCTGACGGCCATGCACATTCCCAGGTGTGGACAATCAGAAGGTGACTATCTCAGTCATCAGCAATTACCAAGAGGTGATTCTAGTTCTCTGTCCAAGGTAGAGAATATTGGACATGGATCTCTTGACATTCAGGTTCAACAATAAACTTAACCAGTTTGTTGCCAGGACCAGGGATCCTGAGGTCTTCACAGTGGATGCTCAGGTGACATTGTCGTATCAGTTCCACCTGATCTATGGCTTTCCCCCTTTAAAGCTCCTTCCTCACCTACTATGCAGAATCAAGATCAGAGGCATTTCGGTGATTGTCTTTGCACAAACTGGCACAGGAGGATGTGCTCTTCAGCTAGTCAAGCTCATTGCAGACTCCAGATCGGCCAGATCTTTTGTCACAGTGCAGTTTCACCATCCTGCTTCTCAGCCACTAGCTTTAATGGCTAGGCTGTTGAAGCCCAAGTCCTGAGAGACAGGGGCCTATTGGTCATCCCTACACTCCCAAAGGCTAGGAAATTGAATTACAAAGTCTATCATCACACTTGGAGGAATGCTTGTTCTGGTGAAAAGACAGAAAATGTAATCCCAGGAAGCACTCTGTGGGATGAATGTTGTCCTTCCATCAGTTGGGTCTGGGTCAGAGTTTGGCCTAAAGTACCATCAATGGTCAGGTTTCATCCATGCCAGTCCTTTTCCAAAGCCTGCTTGTCTCCCATTCCTTAGTGAAAGTATTTACACAAGGTATATATACTGTATACTGTATATATACACATATACACTGTATATATACACATATACATACACACACAGTATAGATAATATAATGTTTAGTATATGCGGTTAAACAGTAACTTACATTAATAGAACAAAATATCTATTTTCCAGACTGCTGTAATTAAGTTGATCATTTATTTGAATTTACAGGATTGATAGGCCGAAAGCCTTATCTCTGTTGTTGCATACAGCAGACATCAGCCATCCAGCAAAAAACTGGGACCTCCATCACAGGTGGACTATGTCATTGCTAGAAGAATTCTTTAGACAGGTATTTAATGTCTGTTTACTGAATATTTTACTCAGTTAACAGTAAAAAAACAACTAAAAATTAGCCTGAGAAAAACCTAATGGTGTATTAAATATTGAAATGAAATATATCTAAATTTCAAGAAACTGTTTTTGTACTGTTTATAAAAATCTGTCAAAAAATTGTTTTGTGTTTTGCTAGATGGAACCGAGGAGCATGGCTAATTCCTGTGCTCATCGGCTCCATCTAGTGGCAAGAATGCTGTGCGAACTGCATTTGCACAGCGTATGGCTGGGTAGAAGGTACCTGTGTGTCAAAGGTAACAATCCTCTACATTTAAAAAAATTTCCACACAAGATTCATACAACTTTAACCTAAAATGCACACATTTTTCTAACTGGATTTGACTAAGAAAATGTGTGAAAACAATAATAAATAGAACTCCTAGTATATTAGTAAGGGTCATGTCAAATCTTCTTGGTAATGTCAAAACTTCTTGTGTTCTCCACTAACACTGTCTGTTGATATGTGCAGAATAATTCCTGTAGGATTTATGGTATAATTCTTGGTGTCTGAAAATTCAGATGATATGTACATATTTTACTTAGTCTCATGGGTGTTATCGGGGAAGGTAAACTACTTTAGTGAAGATAGTGAATGCTGGCAATAAAGAGTGAATGATGATATGTAAACAGTAAATCATTACAAAAGTCAAACAAAGGCAGCATCATAGTACATAAGGTAAACAAAAATCAATAAGAACCAAATGACTATTTTCAAGGTCAGAGTAAACTGAATGAACAAAGTTTGAAATGTTAAACCTCAAAAAATGAATCAAGTTAATGTATTGTTTTTCACACAACTGGAGAGTTATTTATGTTTTTTTATTACACAATCATATTTTTATTTATAACGAAAAAATTATTTTCTGACCTTAAATTTTAAAAAGATTTCACAAGTCCCAGACACATTAATTACTTCTACAAAAAGCTAAAAGACAAGCACAATTTTAATTCAACATCTGTTTGAAACAATACACCATGCAATAACTCACAGATAAAAGAGACGTACATGCAGAAATATTTGCTTTGTTTGCATTCTGAGCATGTATCAAGATATTTTAATATATACAGAAATGTAAACTGATAAAAACCTATAAACTTTGCTTGGACCCCTTCTCTTCTCTATCTACACCTCCTCCCTTGGTCAGTTAATAACCTCACATGGCTTCCAATACCATCTCTATGCGGATGACACTCAAATTTACCTTTCTACTCTGCAACTAACCTCCACAGTGTCCTTGCGTGCCACTAATCTACTAACTGACATAGCAGTCTGGATGTCGCAACACTTCTTAAAACTCAACCTTTCAAAAACTGAGCTCATGATATTTCCTCCTGCCTATGCACCTTCCCCCAACGTTTCCCTTGAGATTGTTAACACAACTATCCAGCCCTCCCCCCATGCCAAGGTCCTAGATGTCATGCTTGACTCGGACCTCACCCTTCTTCCTCACATCCACTCACTATCCAAATCCTGCTGCCTTCACATTCGTAACATCTCCAAAATACACCCCTTCCTCACCAAAGAAACCACAAAATCACTCATCCACTCACTTGTTATATCTCGTCTTGACTATTGCAACTTCCTCCTCATTGGCCTACCTCTACAAGGCTATCCCCCCTTCAGTCTATCGTGAGTGCAGCTGCTAGACTCATTCACCTAACTAACCACTTATTTTCTGCAACCCCCCTCTGTCAATCCCTGCACTGGCTTCCAATAGCCCAAAGGATAACATTTAAAATATTAACAACCACTTACAAAGCCATCCACAACTCTGCCCCTGGCTATATCTCAAACCTTGTCTCAAAGTATCACCCTAACTGTCCCCTCCGCTCTTCAAAAGACAAAAGTTAGACTGTTTGTTGGTACCAATGAACATTGCTGCAGTCTTTTGATCACAGAGTGTTTAGATATCTGGCCTCAGAAGTAAAGTTAAAACCCAACTCTGAGTTCTGTGCCATCCCCCCAATTGACCCCCTTTCCCCTTGAGGTCCACTGGAGGTATTGTATGCTTTTTTGTTTTAGTACAGTGCTGAGAATGGACAGATCTTATAGTCTCCTATTAGATCTTCCTCTTCAGTGTTTTACTACTAACACCTGCTTGGAGTATTTATTTTTCAATCTAGTTTTTATGATACTATATTAGTATGTCAAGCAATTTACTGTTGTTTTTAGGGTGACAAAGAAGCAGAACTTGGCCTTCCGTTTTCTCCACTGTGCGATCGCAATTCAACAATGGTTGCTCAATCCCAAATAGGTAAGAATACAAAAAGCGTTTTTTATTCTGTATGAAGATTAACATAATATGAAGCATTCCTTTCATTTATATTTATTTTATATATATATAGCTTACTAACATACATGCACAAAATATTTGTTTTCTGGGAGCATAGTTTTATTGTTAATTGTTTTATTTCTGTACAGACAATATTACTTTATCATGCTAAAATTAACCTTTTCACAGCAACATAAATGTAAAGCACACACCCACAAATATTTGTACATACCTTTAAATGCCTTCTGGAGCACCCGTGAGAATGGATGAAGCTTTGATATGAAAATGCCAACTTTACTTCCTAAAGTGAAGATCCACCTTCTTTCACCTTCATAGCAAAAACTATTGGTTAGTGAGCATGACCATCATGCTTAAAACAAAGCTATGTGTTACCCATTAAAAACAAAGCAACAGGTTTTCTTTAGTGC